AATATTTTAATGAACACTTTGAATGTTGTTGAAAGAGTTCAGAGCAGCCTGGCAGCTGCACTAAGGACAGGTCCTTTTTTTCCCTAATCAAAGAGCTTTTCTCCACGGGAGCTCTTGGGCTCTGTTGAAGAGCTTTTGGAGTAAAGAGAGGCTTTGGATAAGGGAAGAGAAACTGGGCTTTGAGTTAAAGGTGGTTTGCCTGGCACTGCAGTAACACAACTCAGATTAAATGGCTGATTGATCCAAGGGTGTGTGGCTGGAAAGGTGAGCAAAGACTAATCCATAAGAGAAGGGCTTTAATCAGCTGATGGTGTAAAACAGTAGTTAAAAAGAAGAAAACAGATGCACTGCTTTGTGTCCAACCCATCATTAAATTCCTCTTACCCTGGTACCAAATCTCCCTGCTGCTCTCCCTCAAAGAAAACACTGGATTTCGGCTCAACTTGCAGCATCACCAGTCTTATTTGTTAACTCTGATTATTGGCTTTTTGTGGCAGGAGCTGCATCTCCCTCCTGTGTACAGACCTGAACGCTGCACTGGCAAACTAAATGCAGCTCCTGATCTGTTTGTCTGTCCCGAGTTCCCTCCTCATTTATCCAGTTTGGGCTCCAAAGTCCTTTCCCCTCCCTGCTCTGCTGCACAGGGGCACAACCTCACAGAGAAGGAACTGTTCCCTGCAGGAAGAAACTTATTCTGCATCCCACACTTTCTCCTGTGCCTGCCCAAGCCTTCCTCTCGTCTTCCTCTTCCTCTGCCCCCTGAGCATTCCCCCTCAAACCAAGCCAAGCCCCCCGATCCCACAGGCTGGTTTCCAGCACGTGTGGGGGACTGAGAGGTGGTTTGTGTGATGCTGATCCCATTCCCCTCCCTTCCCTGGGCTTTGCCAGAGGAAGGACACGAGCCTGACATGCCACAGCCCGTGGCACAGCCCAGGGTTTGTGGCCAGGAGCTGCTGATTGACGGGTGAACCCCAGTTCCCCGGGGCTGGGCTCACTGGTGCCACTGTTATGGTCCCAGATTCCCCACATACCATCCCGCTGCGGCTCTTTTATAGCTTCCCATCCCCTTCCAGCAGCAATGAAGCCATTGTGGAGGGATGGGGGCAGGCAGGGCTGGACATCCTCCCCCCTCCCCACCTTCGGGCAGGGTTTTCTCCCTTGTCCCTCTCCCCTCGGAGCCCCCCCCGGCGCTTCACACGTGTCAGGGGCTGGCTCGATGCCTCCCCGATGAAGGGCAGGTTAATACCTCTGGGCCAAGGCTCCTGCTCTCCACTCCCCATCCCGCCTCCAGCTCCTCCACAGCCATGGACAGGATTTTCTGTGCCTTGCTGCTCTCTTTACAGCTCCTCCTGCAGAGCTACAACGTGTGCGGGGCCCCTCCGCAGCCCAGAGGTGAGTGGGGAGTGGGTTCCATCCTCAGGCTCTGCCACTTGTCCCGGCACTGGCAAGGAGGAGAAGGGAGAGGGGACACCCAACATCAGCCAGGGAAGCGAAGGAGCTTTCCCAGCTGTGCTCCCAAGGCAGCAGGAGCTGGAGCTGGGTTTGCCTCTGGCTGTTAGCACGACTTTGGTGCGTGCCGAGGGACAGCGAGGTGGCACCAGGTCATCTCCAGTCCCCCTGGTCCTGGGCTGGAGAAGGCCCAGGTGGGAGAAGGGCTGTCCTCTGCCTCCCAAAACTTCTCCTGTGCCTTCCAAAACTGCTTCTCTCCCCAGCTCTGCGAGGGCTGGGCCGGCCAGGGGCTGGAGGAGGAGTTGGCCAGACCCCCCCCTGCTCAGTCGGGTTCACCTCCCCGGGCAGGAAGGGCTGGATGAGGTGGATGAGGTTGATGAGAGCAGGACTTTCCTATGTTTTCCTTCATCCTGAGCAAAATCCTGCTCTGTTTGACTTTCCAAGTGGGGGTGTAGGGCGGCCAGGAGGGAGGGGAGCTGCCTGCTCTGTAGCTTGCACGGTTCTAATTCCCAATTCATGTCAGCAAGTGCTGGACACCCAGGGAAGGGCTGGAGGGTCTGGTCCTGGGGAGCATCTTCCAGGGGCTCCAGGGAGCCTGGAGAACTCACTGCCAGAGAAGCAGCCAAGGCCAAACTTACTTTTGGGTATTAAAAACGTCTGAAATGGTCTTGTGATGATGCACAGTGCACATTTACGGGCAGGCTGAGGGTTGTAAGGCAGGTGTGACAGGGACTTCAGTGTTATCTGCAGCTCAGGGAGGGACATTTCTGCTACACTGACCCGTTTCTCCTCAGCAATTTGGGAAGGGAGAGTTATCTTTGCAGTGCTACTGAAGTCAGGAAATTAAACAGAGCAGTCATTCAGCTCAGCCCTTCTGCCCCTGCTAAAATAAACACCTTTTAGGTCTGGGTTACTCAGCAGCTTTCCTGCTCGTTTAATGAATATGGCAAAGATGCCCTGAAAGATATTTTCTGCTAAATCAGGGCGTAAAGTTCAGCTATTCCTGCGTAATTCCTAGTGTGGATGTCCTTAAAAATAGAAGGAGATTTTATTTTTGGTTTAATTCGAATTTTAAATAAACTATGCTGAGTCAAGGTGTCAATCAGAGCAAGTGTCCTGTCTGTCACCTCCTGGAAATAATCAAGGCCTGTGACCAGATAGGCTGAAATCCCACCTGATATCTCTTCTTTTCCCTTCATTTCTCTGAAATATATTTTGGTCTCATAAAAAGAGGTTGAAAATGTTATTTAGGACAAAATCACAGAGCTTTCATGCAAAAAGAAATAGATATATATCAAAATTTCTACTGTTCCTAAGGGGGGGAAAAAATAACTTTTCCTCCTTGATTTGTCAGTAAATCCAGAGGGGATTCATCATCTACACGGGGCAAAGGGGAATCTGGGCTTTATTTCTGGAGGAACTGATTGCAAAACTTGGGAGCCTTTCCCTGTCCCTTCATTTCTCACCTGGAAAATGGGCACAACCAACCCCTGGGAAAGGGATTTCCGACGCTGCCAAGTGAATTTTTCCTTCCCGTGCGACGAATCAGGGTGGGAAAAATGAAAGTCATCCATAAGGGAAAAGGTTATATTGCATTTTGGAGGAAATTAGAGCAGCTGACAGAGTGACCACTGCCTGCTTCCCTTCTTTAGCATCTTTAGCAAGATCTTTCCAGGAGCCAGAGGCGGATTCAGCATTAGTGTCTCTCAGGAAACAAACTTGATTATATTCTTTATGGATATTTATTTTTATCTGCCTGAAAGACTGAAAGCTCCATTAGATTTCACACCCAGGGCTCGCTATAATATTTATGTCATCATTTGGAACGGATTTGTTGGCCCAAAAGCTCCCATTTAAAAATCTGTCCACAGAAATGTCCTTTATGGGATAACTGATGTAGTGCCTGGCTGCAGAAATCAAATATTAACAGAGCATTTGATGCCCTGATAGAGACAGGGTAAATGATGGGAAAAAATGGAAAGAAGGGGATGCTGTAGATCTGGTGGAGGGTGG